CAGGTGCTGAGATTGTAGCGGGCAAGGACTCCGTCCTGGGGCCTGGGAGGGCCTGGTGTGCGCTCTCTAGGCCACCTAGGCGCAGGGATAGTAACACTGTAGGTCCGGAGTCTGGCCAGGGCGCTCCTGAATCCTGTGTGACCTTGGGCAAGTCCCTTCCCCTCTCTGGGCCGTTTTTCTTCCCAATAACCGCGTAATAGAATGAGGCACCCGTTAGGTTCTTCCTGCTCTGACAGACTGGGGCTGCCCCTGGCTTTTGTGAACTCCACTTTCCTGGCCTCAGGACGTTTTTCTTGGGAACAAAAACCCTTGGCTCACTGTCAGTCCCTGAAAGGCCAGGGTGGCTGGACAAAGACAGTAGGACATTTTGCAATATTTTCTGGGCAACTGACCACCAAAATGACCCACGTCCAGGTGTCTTTTTCAGGCCCTCCAGGAAGTCCTCTGACCTGACAAAGGACAGGGCTGTTCCTTCCCCCACCTCGGGCCTCCTGACTCCCCCAGCCACGCATCTCAGGGAAAAGGAGCTCAGTTCCCCAGGCCCAGGTTGAAACTCTGAGCTCCCAGGGGAAAGTTTATTAAACCGTGGCCAGCAGCAAAATAAGGAGATCGGGTGAGGAGAGCGGCCTCTTTGGTTGCTTGGGTGGAATAGTCCCTGTGGAAAGATGTGGATTCTCTTCATTCATTTTCTTCCCTCTGAGGTTTCTGGCAAATTGAACCCTTGAGATCGTATCTTACGGGAAGGAAAATAGGAGTTCAGGTCTGAGAAGGCTCCTTGGGTTCAGAAGCAAATATTTTTAAAGTGGGGAGAAGAGATTCTGTTTAAATAGGTTTTAAACAGAGCTCAGGGAGGGGCGGTGTGGAGTGAGTGTTCGAGGCACTAACATCACATACCTAGGGCTCTGAGCTGGCAAGGAAGCTTCTGGAAAATGGAGTTCAGGGCCTGGAGGTGGAAACTGAACCCTTGGTTCTGTATGTATGTGAGTGCCTCCTCCCCAGACAAATTCTGGTAACCATCATGGGCACCGTAGAGGTCATGGGGAAGTGACGGCTTCTAGACACAGCCTGGTCAACAGGTGCAAGGCCAGGGTGAGAGTACCCAGCACTCAGGAGGCATCACTTGCTACACTTCTAGTGGTTAACTACCCAAGCCAGGGTAGCCCACCCCTGGCCATCCGGCAGAGCCAAATGGGGAGATCTGATGCCAACCTCCCTCCTCCCAACTTGGGATTCCAGATCTGAATGCCCAGTAGGCCTTGACCTTCTAGGAAGGATATTTTTTCATTTCTGACTAAGCTACTTTTTTTCTTCCTGCCTGAGCCAGGCCTGCGTCTCCCTAGAAGCCCCGCACAGTCAGCTCCCTGCCCTCCTCCCCATACCCACTTACTCTGGGGAGTGAGCCATTATTTCAAAGGTCAGATAATCCAAAAGTCGGGCCTCACGGACTCAGGCGGTGTTTATCCAAGGTTTCCTGGCTACTGTGCTCTGCACAGGCAAAGACTGCATTCCTTCCTCAGCTGCCACCGAGGTGCCGCCAGGAGTTCTTTATAGAATATTCAGGCCAGTTTATAAACTGATTGGCATCTGTGCCCTTCTCCTGGCCCAGGCAGAGACCTCTGAGCAGGTGGGCAGGCGGGGAAGTTTTACAGAGCTCCTCCCTGCCTGGGCTGCCTCAGCCCTTTGGGGCACCTGCAGGTAGAAGGGCCGGGGAGGCCGCTGTTCCAGGTGAGCAGGACTTCCAAAGGCAGCCGAGCTGCCTGCTTGCCACCTGGCCCCACGCCGGCCCGCCTCCTCCCTCTAGGCCTTGGCCTGTGCTACTTTAGCCACCTGGAATGTCCCTCCCCTTACTCCCGCTGGCACAGAGCTCGGCGGTGCCAGGCCTTTGCGGCAGCCTGAAGTGAGCGCCCCTTGTAGCTGGGTCGGCCATAGCATTACTGCCTCATGCCTGGCTGCTGCCTGGGGCTGTAGTTACCTGAGCTCTGGCCTCTGTTCCTGAAACCCTAGGGCAGGGAGTCCTCCTTGCAGCACCACCCCCCCCCAGCTCACCCCGAACACCCCAGGCAGGATGCCTAACCCCTGCGTTGTTCTGTTCCTTCCAGGGAATCCCGATGCCCACTT